TATAAGGAGAAGTCCTGAAGTTCAAGATAAGATAAATACAGCCTTGTATATATTAAAAAAAAACAAACAAACTGTCTGTTCTTTTGCTGTTCGTGTGTGTCTGTGTTCCCCTTACATGAGACACTGCTGTGTGGTAGGGCCAGCGTCTACATCTTTGAATGGCTGTTTACAGTAACTGTTGCCCCAATATGCAAAAGGCCAAGTGGCTTCACCCACCTCTCAGTGCCACCTTGTCCTCCTCGGGCCTCAGCGTGGACCCCTGTGTCTTCTTACAAGCTGTTCCCTCGCAAGCTGAAGGGGAGGAGCTGTAGAGCCCTGTCTTAACTTCTGGCTGCTGTCCAGTAGTGTACTTGTTGGCTCTGACCCTCTTGCTGCCTCCCCTTTGAAAGGCCATGGTGGCTGCAGGCAGGGCTCTAGGGGTTGAGATCTGTGCCTCCTGCTGTCTTGCAGTGCTGTGTTTGTAGACAGTTGTGCCAGGTGTCTTCACTGCTTGGGGCAGAAACATGTGCATACATGTCGCTTCCTGTTCAAATCACCTCCAAATTATACAATAAAATAGGCAGGAAATTAAATGAAGTATCACTTTGTGAAAGTGCAGCCGTGAGCCCCTCCTAGCATAGGCAGGCTCCCCAGTCAAACCCACCTTCTGGTTAAGTCTCACCCCAGCAATGCCTGTTCTTCCTCCTTGTCCTCCACCATCAAAGCCTCAGCTTGAGCTTCCAGATGTAGGAGACCTCAGGCCATAGAGTTCTCACTTTGTTTCCCCTTTCCCGCTCTGAGATGAGGCTTTCTGCTGCAAAAAGCCTAGCATTTTTCCACAAAGCCTGTGAGATCTACTGCTCTGAGTGCTAGTGTGCAGTAGGCACGTTGATCCTTGATGAGCCAGGAAGAGTGGCTGAGCTTTGCAGGGCTGCAGGTCTCAGCGTGCTGTCCTGGAGCCGTCACCACTTATGCCCTCAGCCCCTTCCAACAGCTGTCATAGCAGAGGTGTTTGAAGGAAGGAAGGCTAAATCTGCACCTCCACAAACTGAACTGCCCAGTGAGAGACTTGTGTGTAAGCCCATAGCACAAGGAAGGCAGGCAGCTAAATGGTGCTCCTTCTTCAGTTGCATTAACCCAGGGGTAGATCTCTTCACCTCTGGAAGCATTGGTGACATTTGCAAGTTTTAGCAGCCTCAGCTGTGAGGAGCAGACATGATGAAATCTGTAGGTCAGTTCTGCTGCTCTTTAGCGGAGCCACGGTACATGGCTATGTTGACTGATGCTTGCTGATGCCTCCTTCAGCTCAGCTCCCGCAGCTATCCTTGACTGCTTGGACAGAGCAGGTTTCCTCTGTGACAACATTTTTAGTCAGGTGACTAATAGTCTCCTGATACAGAAATGAAGAAAAATGGTTACTTATGCTACAGTGATTGTGGTTCTTCCAGGCACACTCTCCATAGAGGCACCACAAGCAGTTTCTTGTCCTTCTCTCTGAATGAGCCTTTACTTTTGGCAAACCTGAGTGAGAGAGGTTGTCGGGCATCCTGAGCTTAATTTGCTCCCTTACCACCGTGAGCAGCAGCTTCCTTGGGCTGCACATGTTCATCCTCCTTCTTCCCTACCCAGGATGCCAGTCTGTGTTTCAGCTTTCCACTCCTCACACTGTGCTCCCAGCTAGGACATCGCCTCTTGCCCGCATATTCTTCTCCCATGGCCCTGCTCCCTTTCTTCAGCCACAGCAAACTTTGTCAGCTCCTCTACATCAGCATCAGGTTTGGGAACAGCAGGGCTATGTCAGCTACTGAAGAGGGAGGTTGTCACCTCCCAAAGCAGTATGTTGATGGCAGTGGCATATGTAACAGCTCTTTCCCCACGGCGTGAGTGAAGAGCAGAACTGGGAGCTGCTGTTGCTGCAGAGCGTGTTAGGTGGTGTGATGACATGCATGGCGCTGGTCAGGAGCCCTTCGCCTCATGCCACTGCCAGTAGCAGTTGGGAGGGTTCACAGGCACAGCCTGGGTGGACATTACTGTCTTCAGAGAACTTGATCCTGTTCATGTGAGTACATGCTCACCTGGGATCTGTGTGGACAGCACTTGTTAAAGACTCACAGTTTCCATAGGGTAAGTAACTGCTTTTCATTTTGTTTCCTTAAAGAAATATTTAAAACCCAGGATGACTCTGTAATACTATTAAATTCTTAACCAGTTCCACCATTATTATGACTAATGTTTCTAGGAATCTGCTTCTGGTTTAAAATGGATTAATACCAAGATTCGATAGATTCACTATCCTGTATACAAGGCAGAACGACAGATACAGTGTTCTCAATGCTGTGTTCTCATTATTACTCTTATTTTGCAAGAAAATAACCATGAAACTGGTGTTGTCCTTTACTGTGCCTGGACATTTAAGAAAAGTAACAAATGCAAGTTAGGAGGAGGATTATTGGTTGCATTCATGTAATATCTTCATTATCCTTTTAATTTAGATATCAAATAATGTTTTAAAACATTTTCAAGTGTAGCTGTTTTTTCAGATTTTTAAACATGAACTGTGAGTTTTGAAAAAAAGTATGTTAGTCTTTTTTAATATTAAAACTAGGAGTAAAAGATTTAGCTTATGGTTTGGGGTTTGTTTTGTTTTCTTTGGCTTCTTAGATGGTAGAAATTAAAATATTGTCTAATCTGGAATTAACAGGGTGCCTGGAGAGTTAGCAGAATTAGTGCCTCACAGATACTGGCAGAGATGATCTAGGAATTGTAATCTGACAAATCACAGCAGTTGCATTTTGTTACTAGTTCACAAAAGTGTTTGGGGCATGTGCTGTGACAGTGCTTTCTGCCATGTGATGCTTCTTTGCTTCACGTGGAAAATAATTTGAGCTTTGTTATTTGTTAAAAGATTGTTCCTAACTCATCTAGTTCAGAAGAAAACGTAATAACACTCTAAGCAGTTATGAGAAGGATGGTTCATCTTTGTTCGGTATTCTGCCTCAGACGTTTCCTAGCTCCAAAAGCTTCTGAGAAAGGTGCTCTAAAATTCAGCATTATCAGAGACAACTTTTATATTCTGTGCAGAAGAAAACGTCTTTTATCAAATAGCTGATTTATTGTCACAAATCATAAGAATTATAGTACGCTTTGTGTTAATCCTGTCAAATGTAGCAAATGTTTTCATTATTCATACAGACTTACCCCTTTTTGTGTGTATGTTGTTGAGCTCTGCTTAATCATGGTCTAGAAGCTGAGACCACAGCTAATAGTAGGTATAGCATTGCCCTCATCTGGATCCACTGCACTGTGATTTTACTATATTAATAAAGTAATGAATAAAGAGTACCTTCAGCATTTTAACTCCATCTGATTGCTTGCTTACTTGTTTCAGTTTCCCCTGATATAAGTCTTTCCATGCCTCTAATGGCCTGTCTTCTGAGGGCATCTGCTTTTTGCTAGAGAGACTTTAGATGTGTGGTGAGAACTGAGTACTATAAGCATGTAAGAGAAAACAATGAACAGTGTTGAGAGGGCATTATAATATTTTAGGCAGAATTTGGGAGCGGGAGGCATGTGTAGTTTTGAATAGGGAATAGTCTGTAAATACCAGTAGTGGAGGGACTAAGTCCATGAGGACTTAGTTCATTACATTTGTGTGGCTGTCTTAAATATTGTCTACATAGTGTGAGCTACATTAGCAGAAAAATCTGAATAGTGAAGCTCTTCCTTTCTGCTGTGACAGTGGAAGATGCTGGGATAGGCATTGCAGGGTAACTAATTTATAAGGGTCTTGCTGTGAGAGTGAATGAGGAGTTATTGGCATTTTTGCCCTGAAAGAAGATGACTTGGGGACCTCCAAAAGAGATGAGAGTTGTGTTCACTTTCTTGCTTCTTAGTGGAAAACAAATCTCTCACTTTTTCTTTGGGTACTGGAGCCCCAAGTAAATGCTCTTCAACTGTCAGCTTCAGTTGGTTGCTCTGAAGCACTTTTGCCTTTAATAGACGTTCAAGGACGCTAGTTTGCTCACATTCATGCTTACCGTCAGAGGAGGCTGAGGCTGTGTGAAGCTGAACTTGGTACCAAAAGGAAGAATACTTTGATGGGGTGAATGGGAAGTGCGAAGGGAAGATGGTTTGTGTGAGGGAAATGTTACATTACTCCTGGGTTCCTGCCAAATACCTTCAGCCTGCTATGCCACGTGGGGTATGTGCATAGGGCTTTGCCCTTAACTCTCTGCAAGAGTTGGAGGGGATAAACCTTCCCATTACAGTGAGGCACTGAACATTTTCCACTTACGCCTGTGTCATCCAGGAGGCCTTCTAGCAAGAAAAGGAAGACATTCTGCAAATTACAAAAGGATGGTGGCAAGGAAAAGGGAGATGTAAGGGAAATTCCAGAAAGGCCCTCTGGATTTGCTCAGGCACACCTAGACTTGCCTCCACTGGGATTTACCTGTAGCATGTACATCATTAAGAGGCTTTATTATTTTTTAAATTAATTTTATTTTCCTTTGCAGGTCACCTTTTAAGCTGCTATTTCCTGTATAATTAAGCAGAATGAAGGCATTAGGTTCTAGTAAAGTTGGGCCTAATCCAGAAATCTTCTCTTATTCAGTCCTTCCTGAGTAAGAAACTCAAGTCTGGGCCCAACATTTTACATGTTTTGCTGTTATTTCTAAATTATTTGTGGTCTGTGGAAATTATTGTTTTGTTTTTAACTTTATTGAAAACTCCTTTGCTTTTGTCTAATTTTATCTCTTTATGTGTTACTGTCCAGCATAGCATTAGTTGAAATGATGTAAGTATACTGCAAATTGAAGTGCGTAATTGCTACTGATAATGCAAGAACGATTGATTCCTACAGTTTATAATTAACAGTACATAATGTTCTGTGCATGGGTTGGATCTATTCCTTTTAACTTTTCCTTTCTGATTTTTTCCATCCCTCGGTCTTGTTGCATCCCAGCCTTTCTGAATGTACTGGTTTCGCTGGAGTCTAGTCCGTTCTTCCTTTTGTTTTTCAGACCAGTAAAAATGGGAAGTACTGGATTCTGGTTTCCTCCAAGAAGAGTCAGCGGAACTGGTTAAGACCAAAATCTGAGGACTTTAGTGGGCAAACATCAGGTGTGCATTGAACAGAGGCTGCTTTAATTCTGCTTTAAGTATATGCTTGTTTAAAGATAGTATTATATATGAGGTTTTGTGTAATGTGTTTGTTATATTTGATACTGCATATAATCATTCATCCTGCAGTTGTGAAAGCACCAGTAAGAATCAGGATTTTAAGTGATAATATGTTGAGACACAAGCAGGCAATATTACTCATAAAATTCTTTCAGCTGGTCTTTGGAAAGTGTAATATTTGAGGATCAGTGGTTTTTTAAGTTTTATCTCCATTGCTCAGTCCACAAGAAAAAAAAAAAGGTGGTTATTTGCTATTCAGAGATCAATATTGAAGTTCTTCATCTGTTGAGAAATGGTACTGAGATAATAGTGCATACATGTCTTTTAATAAAGCACTGTCATTATCAAAGATTGGATCCACACTATAGTTGTTCTAGTGATGCATATTTAAGGACATTTAAGCACAGTTCAAAGTCAGCTTAATTCATTTTGATCATCGAGGAAAAAATCCTGAATTCATCTTGTGAATGTTCTGAATTACTTCTGGTGCAGCAACTAGGTTACCTGAAGTTTTGGAGAAGATTGGCCTGAATATAGAATCAGCTGGGTTTAAAAAGACCTTTATGATCATCAAGTCCAGCCATTACCCCAGGACTGCCAAGTCCACCACTAAACCATTTCACTGAAGGCCTCATCTACACGTTTTTTGAACACTTCCAGGGATGGTGATTCCACCACATCCCTGGGAAGCCTGTTCCAATGCCTGATCACCCTTTTGGTGAAGAAATTTTAGCTAATGTCCAATCTAAACCTCCAGCCTGAAGTGTGATCTTTGCATTGAGAAAAGGAGGGGGAAGTTGTCAGAGTTGTTAATTTAAGCTAGTATGCTGTTCCACAGCAAGGACTGCTTTTGGCTTCACATCGGACCCTGCATATCACCCTTCTGCATGCCCTAACATCCTGCATCTCCCAGACTTGATGCATGTTCAGTTCTTCTCCACCTGTCCCCATCAACTCACTCCTATCCTCATGTTCTTAGATATTCCCAACCCCTATGCAGCGCTCCCTACACCTCCCTGACCCTATAACCCCATCTGGGTTCTGTCCGTTGTGCCCCCTGCAACAGTTCACTTTCTCTGCTGTATCCTACCAGCTGTGCCTGCTTCCCTTGTCACCAGCTAGGCAGAGAAGCCACTTGCTGCTGGACTCTGGACCCAGCATGGTCAAATTAACCATGCTCCCCATCCACAGACTGCAAAGGTGGTTCTCTTGCCCTTTGCTTGCTAATGCTGCCTGCCTTGTCCCGGCCTATAGATTTGGTAGGGAGGTGAAGAAAATCACAGCCTTTTCTTGCCCTGCTGAAACTAGGTGTCCTAGCCACGCAGTGAGGGTCATGGCTGCTGCACTGTCAGCTCGGTGTAGCAGGTCTTCTGTAGGTGCCTGTGTGGTATAGATACACTCTCTGTTAAGTAGATCAGGTTGGATTTTTTTCTCCCCCTGCCCGCAGACTTCATTTGTCAGAAGACATTAGACTAAAACAAGATTTCATTCTATTTTCAGGCCAATATGCATAGAAGACCAGTGTGTTTTGTTTACAGGAAAGCAAAATTAATTCTATTACTAGATTCTGATTAAAGAGTATATTGGAAAATATCTTTCAATCCACAAATATATCACAACTTTGATGTGAATGAGACCTTCCTTTTGATTCCATTGGCGGCCTCATTGACATTGGACCTGGTCTTCATTTACTTCTATTGCAGAAAATTGTTGCTCCCAAGTCTCCAAACAACTGTTTCATTTTTTCACTTACGAGCTAGATAGTTGGTTATGAGACAGAACATAAAATTAAGCTGATCCTTTGAAGACCTGTGCATGTTCCCATTCATGGAACGGATGTCTGCAGACTTTGTTGCATGAGTGGGAATGAGTCCGAGACAAATCTGAAATCATAAGAGTCCTTAAAGAAAGATCTTTCAGTCACTGGGTATCTTTAAAAAGGTTAGTGGTTCCATATATAACTGGGGGGAGTAAAGGTGGTCTTACAAAATGTCTCACTTAAAGATGGTAGTAGAGTTTAACCTGATACTCAAGGATGTTAGGTTGGAAGGCAGCAGATTTCCATCTTGGTGTGTCAGTACTTCTCTCCTCTTGTAAAGACAAAGGAAAAGTCATGGGGAGGAGGGAGGAAGAGGCATAGACAACAGCATGTTCTGTGTATGCATTTCAAGTGGAGATGTCAGTCTGAGTATTTCGTAAAATGCAGACATTAAGGAGGTGCATCCCCCTTCTCCCCCTCCCTGCCCCTCCAGCCCTCCCATCCTGCCATGCACTGAGGAACACACAGGCTCACTTTTCTCTAGGACCACACTGGGGCTCTTGCAAGGACCATTTAGTTCTGCCCCCATTGCACCTGGGCACTGCTCAGGTCTCAGCTGAGCCTCAGCAGGGAGAGAGGACAGCTGAGGCCAGGCCCAGGCCGCCCTGAGCTCTTCATTTTCCCTCATTGCCAGCAGTGAGGAGCCCGCTCTGTTCCTTGAGGAGGTGGTGCTAGGCTGAGCAGCTGCGCGGACTGGAGCTCCCTGCCCAGCTCCAGGCTCCCAGCTCCACCTGTCCCAGCAGCTGCTGGCGGGTGGCCGGCCACTGAGCCCCCGTCCCAGCCACAGCCTCCGGCCTCCTTGCTGCCCAGCACAGCCGCCTCTGCTGCAGCAGCTGCCCTGGCTAAGGCTGGAGCGGACAGCAGCTGTGGGCCATGACACCGGGGCTGGGGGTACGGCATGCTTTTGAGGGAGAAAAGCCACTCTTCAGGGCTTCCCAGCCCTGCTAAACGCTTGTGTTGAGTGCTGTCCTCCTGTTGTCTTCCTCATTCCCGCTGCCGCAGACCTCGCACTCCACCTTTCCTGCACTGGGTTTTGGTATCTGTAGTAGCAGTTGTGCTCTGATGATGAAAAAATGCTGTAAGCTACCCCTGACAAAGGAGGACTGTTGAGTGCCATGTAATAGCAGGTGCCCAGTTGCTACTATATGTTACCAGATGATGAATTTCAAGCTGTTCACCCACAACTTAGACATGAGTATCATGCACCTCCTTTAGCCGAAAGTGTCTGCTTTAGTTTATGGTTTGCAATGCCCAAACAGGACTAAGAGCCTCCATCCTCAGCTAGCCTGAATGTGAACATTTATAGCCCCTACATCTTCTAGGATAGCGTGAGGGGAGTGGAGGTCTCCATTACTGCACTGATAAAACCCTAATCTGTCTAATCTGTCCCTAATCCATAGGATTTCTGTTGTTAATGCATCAGGTCTCTATTAGCAAGGGTAAGTTCACAGGAGAATTTCACCTGGCGTTAGCATTCAGTGTCAGTGCTTATGTTTCAGTAGAGTAGATGCACAGATGTGCAGTAACCTCAGCGAGGAAGTGCACCTGAGAGCATGAGCTTTACCCCCCCAGACTGTCAGCATTGGGTAGTGCCACTTCTCGCCCAGGCTTTCAAACACTTCGAGCCTTACAGATTCTCACTGTGATAAGTGTGTGCATGTGTGTAAGCGTGTGTCTGTGCAAACACCACAGGCGTGCCTTTAATTCCTTTGAAATCTGAAGCTGCCAAAAGCCATCTGGGTAGGTAGGTAGGTAGGCTCTTTGCCTGGTGACTCCCATAATGAGACAGGAACTTTGCTGTTCTCCATCAGTACTTGAGGGGAAGGTTGCAAGGTGTGATTTCAGGGCATATGTGGATCTGTTCTTCCTGAGCAATGCATTATAAGAGTTGCAGCAAATAGTGTTAAAAACAAAAAACAAACCTGCAGGTATTACATTAGACCAGCTGAACCTAATTTTATTTTTAAGTTTTATTCAGAAGCATCACATAGCAAGTAAACTTCAAAATCTAAGTTTAGTTACAAACTAGTTGTTTCTTATTTTTTTTTTCCAGTCCCCTTTTGCTTTCTTTTACGACCACATGAAACTTGAGAAGCCATCTAAAGCTAAATCATTTAGTGGAGTTGGGCAATTCCCAAGTGTCCAACAAGAAGGCCTGGTTTAGGCTGCGATGGCCACTGTCATTCCTGGTGATTTGTCAGAAGTAAGAGATACCCAGAAAGTCCCTTCAGGGAAACGTAAGCGTGGTGAAACCAAACCAAGAAAAAACTTTCCTTGCCAACTGTGTGACAAGGCCTTTAACAGTGTTGAGAAATTAAAGGTTCACTCATACTCTCACACAGGAGAGAGGCCCTACAAGTGCACACAACAAGACTGCACCAAGGCCTTTGTTTCTAAGTACAAATTACTAAGGTATTAAACTCTATTTATCTTTCAGATTATATTATCTATTTTATGTTGGCCGTGTTAAGCCATGTAAAAGTATATATTTGTACGCCTTCAGCTGATTGCAGAGAGGATGTGTTAATTAAAGTAGCCATTGGATTGTTTCTAGAATTCTAAATTACCTAAGTTTGCAAGCTAATGTCTTTGATTTTGTTTCTTAATTTGTTTTCTGCTTTTGTTTTCTGTTTGTTTTTATTTTTGTTTTGTTTTGTTTTTAAATGAGCATAGAATTTTCATTTGTATAAGGAATTGTCACGAGAAAAAGAGTATGGACTGAAAATTTTTTGGCTATGGACTTTTACATGAGTACTTTCATACTTGCCTATATGTCCCTGTTACAGTAGCTAAAACCCACCAAAACCTAAAAGTGTCGATTTAAGAGAAATGCCTCGTGTTTTGCTATATTTAAATTTGTTGAACTGTCTATGTAGTGTCATGCTTTCAGTTAAAAGGTTCTGTTGCAAAGCAGCCTTTAGTGTAGTATTTAGCTGCCATTAAAAAATGAGCACATGTGTTTTTTGATCAAAATAATTACTTACAGAATATATCTGTGTTTAAAGGCATATGGCTACTCATTCTCCTGAGAAAACCCACAAGTGTAATTATTGTGAGAAAATGTTTCACCGAAAAGATCACCTAAAGAATCACCTACATACACACAATCCCAACAAAGAGGCCTTTAAGTGTGAAGAATGTGGAAAGAACTACAATACCAAGCTTGGGTTCAAACGTCACCTGGCTTTGCATGCTGCAACAAGCGGTGACCTCACCTGTAAGGTATGTTTGCAGACTTTTGAAAGCACAGGAGTGCTGTTGGAGCACCTAAAAACTCACGCAGGCAAGTCATCGGGTGGAGTGAAGGAGAAAAAACACCAGTGTGAACACTGTGATCGTCGGTTCTACACCCGAAAGGATGTCCGTAGACACATGGTAGTGCACACTGGAAGAAAGGACTTCCTCTGTCAGTACTGTGCACAGAGATTTGGGCGGAAGGATCACCTCACGCGTCACATGAAGAAAAGTCACAACCAAGAACTTTTGAAGGTCAAAACAGAGCCAATGGACCTTCTAGATCCCTTTACCTGCAATGTTTCTGTGCCTATTAAAGATGAGCTGCTTCCAGTGATGTCTTTACCTTCCAGTGAACTGACATCAAAGCCATTTACAAACACTTTGCAATTAAATCTCTACAACACTCAGATTCAGTCCATGCAGAGTTCTGCATCTGCACACCAAATGGTTGCCACATCATTACCATTGGGAATGCCTTGTCCAATAGATATGGAGTCTGTCCACCCTCCTCACCAGCTATCGTTGAAATATCCACTCGGTACTACCTCATACGCAATTTCTATGCCTGAAAAAGAACAGCCATTGAAAGGGGAAATCGAAAGTTACTTAATGGAGTTGCAAAGTGGTATGCCTTCTTCATCCCAGGATTCTCAAGCATCTTCATCAAAACTAGGGCTGGATCCACAAGTAGGGCCACTAGATGATGGGTCTGGGGAGGTTTCCCTTTCCAAGGGCTCTGTTCCTATTAGTGAACCTCTAAACACCCCATCATTGGACTTTTCTCAGCTGTTCAACTTCATACCTGTAAACGGCCCTCCCTATAATCCTTCCGTTTCAGTGGGGAACCTCGGAATGAGTTATACACAAGAGGAGGCACATTCTTCTATGACTCAACTTCCACCACAAACCCAGGATCCACAGGATCCTAGCAATAGTATAGGTCTTGGGTCTCTGCACTCGTTGTCAGCAGCTTTCACAAGCAGTCTAAGCACAACCACCACCCTACCACGATTTCATCAAGCTTTCCAATAGGATGTACAAAGCTGGCTTGTTACTGTCTATTTGTAGAAATGCCTTAGGTGACCTTTTTTAACTTAGTGCCTACTATAAGACATTATAAATTCTCTGCTTTTGTACAGTACCAATCTCATGAAGCCAGTAAGAAATTTAAATTAACTTTTTAAAAATGTTTTGGAAGTGTTTATTCTCAGCTGTGTTTACTTTGTTGTTTTTTTTTTAAGCAGTCTCATTGTATTGTTTTCATTTTCACTGCCAATTGACACATTGAAAATGCTCAGTAGAAAGTCATCCCAAGCAAACTCTCAGCGCTCATCCCTTTGTCACAACTTTTTCAACCATACCAGCTATTCCATTTTATTGATGTCAGTGGTAGAGCTACCACCACTTTTAATATATATTTTACTATTTGCAAAGAATCCAGATAAAAGTATGTATCACAAAGATTCCTGAAGATTTGGGAAAAAAATATGTATTTCCAGTCCATTTCCAAACAAATCCTCTTCCCATATGGTGTCATGTCTGATCTGCTCTATAATGACAAATCTAAATTTTTTAAATAAATAGAGAATTCAGATTTTTCTGAAAACTTGTGTGTGTATATATAGAACTCCATATATACACATATACATATATATAGCATTTGACTTGCATTGAAGTCATTATAAAAGGTGTTGAGAATTTTTGCCATTTTCTGGCTTAAATTTTTTTGGCCTGTTACAGATAACAGATGAAAAACAGAATTAGTTTAATTCTCTAAAATCATGGCTGAACAGAATTTCAACAGAGAATCTCTTCTTGCCTGGATGACAAATGTTTCAAGTTGAATTTGGAACTCTGTTGTTGTGCTTTCATGACTCTGGTATAGGGAAACAGGCAAAATTAATGGCTGATCTTGAAATATAAAAGTGTTGTAATGTAGTAATGCAGAATATTTTGTCGCAGTTTTTGTTTTAATTCTTGCTGTTTTTTTTCTCTTTAGTAGTATAGAAAGAGTACTTCATAGGAATCTTCCAGTAGTGTATTCGCATTTGTAGGCATCAGTCTTCTCCCAGCTGCCACCGCCAAAGGGTGGTTCAAGTCCAGCCAGAAAGTGTGTATCTATTTTCAGTCCAAAACTAGTGTGCAGTCAGAGAGTGAATGTAAATTTGCAAATACCGGGTTTTGTTTTTGTTTTGCCTTTTTTTTTTTTTCCTGTTGAAATTATCTTTTCAGTTGTGTTACATGGTGTGTTATGTCCTCCTAAGCAACAAGTTAGATGTTAATCACACTTTCTACACCTGGGTACTTGGTTAGGGACTTTTTGCCCATTGCCAAGATTTAAAGACAGGACTCTTAGGAGTGAAGTAAAAGCATATTGCTTACACCACTTTTACCTAATGCAATATATTCTATTCCCCAACCCCTAATAACCAAAAGATAAAAAAAAAAAAAAAACAAGCAACCCTGTGATGCATGAAAGCAAACTAGATTTGCTGTACTTCAACAGTAACGTTCTTTTCCTTGTCATTTTTGTACAAGGAATTAAAAAATAGAGATCAACTACATTAGTATCTCTCAAACAATAATGAGAATTCGTACAAGGTTTTAAGTGGTTAAACTAAATATACTTCACAGAAACAAAAGTTGCTCCCATTTAAGGAGCTCATGCTCCGGATGTTTTATCAGTAGCTCCTACTTTTTTTTTTTGTAATTCTAGGAGCAATATGCAGGTGTAGTTTTACTATTTTATACGTATGTGTATTTAAATTTTATTACTAAAAGATAACATTTTTATAAATGTGTTTGTGTTCCAAAGGCATTAAAATAAGGATGTATTAATAAGGAAAATACCTTTTGAAATTCTGCAAACTACTCCTAGATTTTGGTTTTAGGAGCACGTTATCTCAAAGTGGGCTTTTAGCTCTGCTTCATGACTGCTTCCTCTGGTTTCTGTGAAACAGATTGCTCGCTTACATCTTTAGTTGAATGATTTGTTCAATATTGCTTCTTTTCTCTTTCACCTTTCTAAACGAAAGAAAAACACAGATGAACAGAGCACAAGGTGAATGCAACTGAATGTAACTCTGGTTTAAATTGGCAACCAGAACGCAGCTAGGAGGAACTCGGGTTTTTTCTCAATCCTTTAAATCAGTCTGAGATGAAGATAAATGAACTTAATTCCTCCAGTGGTTTGGAAAGTTGGGAGTGTTCAGCATCCTGCAGCCAGCCCAGCGGTGTGGCTGTGCAGCCTCAGGCACACAAATTCCCAATCCATTGCGGCTGTTTATCAGGCTCAGTTGCCGATTAGACTTCATTTACAGAAACAAACCCCAAACAGACACGTTGCCAACACCTATTTCTCAGCACGTAGCCAGAATCCTTACTACTTTGTTTTGTGCCTTAGCTTCCTGTAAAGGGATTGACATTTCACTTTGGAGTTAGATGTACATTTCACTTAAGAAACAGGGACCTCAGACAAGGTATTGAACCTCATTCAGTCAGGGTTTCAGTGGGTACATGCACCAAGCATGTTTGCCACTGGACTAGGATGTATGGTAACGTGGAAGCAGACTGACACTGTAAGCAATACTACCACCACCAGAGTGCTTTTGAGTATCACTTAGGCGGAGTCACTATTGGCCACTACTAAACCATCACTTTTCAAACCCTGTCTTCTCCATTTCAGATGGATTCTTGGTGGGAGGGGGGAGGGCTGGCTGATCATGCACCACTCTTTGTGTAACTTCTAGACTTCTAGTAAGGTTCTTTTGTTCTCTTGTTTTGGTTTTGTTTCCTTTTTTTTTTTTTTTTTAATATATATATTTTTGTGTACTTGTTGCTTGTGCTTTATTTAGTAGTAAATTGTGGAATAGAGTGATTTATTGTTAATTTGGCAGTAGCGGTTTTTAAAAACCATATACTGACTGAAACATGAGCCAGAGCTGATTGCTTTATTAAGCTAATAATGAATGTTAAGAGTACATATTTTCAGGATCATTTGCCTAGTGAGCTAAACTTGTATTATAGGCCAATATTTTTTAAAATAAAAGCTTGGTCAACCTCTATGTTACACATATTACAAGATATAGCACTTTCAAAAAGAAAACCTAAACCTTTTAAGAAAATTTCTTACAGGTTATGCTTTTTATTATAAAACCTTTTATTATAATTTGTTTCAAGTGCCATTAGATTACATATATGTAGGCCTTTGGTATAATGCTTTGTGTACAAAATGGTAGACATTGTAATTTTAAACAGGTACATTTTTACAGTGTTTTCTTATCAATTTGCTATATTGCACAGAACCAGTGTGTCTTTCTTAAGGGTTTTACAATGGTTTTTACTAGGTTTACATGTTTCAAACTACACTGTCTTCTACTGCCATTTTGAATATCAGTCAAACGAAAGGAGTTTGTCCTCACCAAATGCAAACTGTGTCCTCTGGAGTTCTGTATGGTAAACTATGGCAAAAATGTTTTAACACGCAGTATTTGATACAGATCTTTTTATCATATCCTGTCATCGCTATGCTGCTGTCTGAAGTTGACTTAGGGCCTTATCCTGCATCCGTAAAGGTCAGGGGGAGCAGGATTGCATCCTTCGTTATGTCTGTCTCATACACTGGTTTAGCAGCTCATCCTGTATTCTTCTCAGTCTGTAGGTAAGCCTCTGAAATAAATGTACTTATCTAGCATGTAGTAAACCGCGTAGGCTTAGCTGCCCATCCTGCATCCTCCCAGCGTACAGTTAAAGCCACAGCCTATATAGCATTATGCTCAACGTACAGATAATGCCACAGTAGTTCAAAATGTATTTGGATAGTCCCAAAGCTTTTATGCAATAAGGGTGTCTTACTTTTGTTGGAAGGCAGTGTCTTTTGATAACAGTTATCTAGCCCTGGAAGTGACACAGAACTATTGCTAATCATATGTAAACACTTTTCAGTATAAGCTTCAGTGGTACAGTTGAACCAGAGTGAATGTTTATCTCCTCAGAAACACTCCTGCAATATTGTTATATTGGATCATGCTGCTAATGTAACTTGGGATACAACTCCTCTCATGGTGCTACAAACCTCCCTGTCTCATTCAGATGTATTTTTACCCATAGAAAAAAGGACTATACTAGACCTATAGTTGTATGATATATTTTTATACTGTGACTTAATTTGTCATTAATGAACTTTGTGCAACACCACAATGTATTCATATGCACTTGCAAAAGTAAAATTTTGGACATGCAAATTTAAACGCTGACAAGCCCAGCTCTTGTTCACAAACACAGGTGACTGCTAGTTAAACTCAAATGTGGGCTTTTTATATGGTGTGGAGTGAAGAACATACTATATATTACTAAAAGCCTTTGAATTTAGACAATAACTGGGGGGAAGTATATTGGGGAATGATGACACACCCAAACCTGACTTGGATTGCTGAAATTATATTTTTAGCTAGTGGAAAAATGGTTTGGACTTTATGTTTTAATGAGAAAAGTTTTGAGTCAAAAATAGAGAAAGAAAAAAAAAAGAACACAGAAAACCCTGCATTCCAGACTGAATTTGTATATTTTTCTTGCATTTAAAATTTGCTATCCTGTGATATGGGAAATTGAGTTGCTTATCATGTATATGTACTTTAAAATGTATTCACAAACTACTGTTGTATTTGTATAAAATATAGACAAAAAGATTGCATATATATTTTTGTGTATAAGCTCTGTAAAATAGCAATCACATTATGAAGCTGCAGCAGAACTTCATTTTAAACATTCACATCCAAAGAAACAGACTATTTATTGTCCACATACCCTGACTATAAAATATACCTTGCTGCTATTAAACAATAGTGCTGCAGCTTCTTGTGGCCTACAGTGTTATGTTTGCTGTACAAAAATATGTGAACTCCACAAAATATATCAATAAAATTACAGAATGGTTTTAGTTAATGAATAACTTATGCCTGGCATTTCAATAGATAACCTTGTTCTGCACGTTTGGGATTATAGAATGCATTCAGTTTTGCTCGGTGTAGTTATTCTGACTGTGCAAAGGTGTAATTGTCTTTTTAATTTACAGATGGTAAAATGTCATTTTTTCAGACAATCTTAAAGCAAAATTATCTGCATTTCATGATTCCACCAAGGAACAAACTGGATGATGCTACTGTGTCTGTGATGAGACACATCTGAACTGAAGGAAGCAAGTCAGCTTGCCATCAAATTGCACTTTGAAATGCTGTGAAACACTGGAAGATGAGTTTGGGGATTTTGTAGTGGGACCAGTTGTCTGAGAGATGTAGGTGAGTGATTCTCCATCATTTCCAGATTAATGCAAGTCATTTACATTGACTGTTACAGTTCGCAGGATACCCTAGTATGCGGGTTGTCTCTCTGAGATGCTTTCAGGAGACACTCTGTTGCTTTGGTCCTATAGATCTCCCATCTGCCCATGACACTGCCAAAGAAGTCTGACTAATGTACTGCGGGAAGAGGTGCTAGGCAGCCAGATGAGCAGAGTAGTAAGTGGAATGTGATTGCTTGTATGATATCTGTTTTGTATCCAGAGACCTCTTGGTGCAGTCCCTCCGGAGCTCACCTTGTTAAATTCAGAGCCATGGGCATCTTCCCTTCCCTCATTCCTATAACCATGCCTTTCCAAAACTTGCATCAAAAAGTACAGAAAAATAGTCCTTCAGCATCCTCTATAGCTGGTCTTGCTCCCTTCCAGGAGCAGAAGAAAAAGACTACTCTCTTTTCCCCCTTCACTCTCCTTCATATCCTTCCCACATACAAGCATGCCCTAGAATAAAGGGGGGGGGGGGGGAGGGGGAGGGGGTGACAGAGAAATCCAGAATTGTGATGCTGAGCTCCTGATGGACTAGCAAGAACCAAGCAGCTACATGCTCTTGGCTTCCCTGCTTTTCAAATCAAAACAATGTATTAAATCAGATAGAAATTAGGTTTCCCGGAGCAGCAGTTGCCACAGTTGGCACAGCAAGGGCTAGTGATCTCAAACAGGCAGCAAGGTAAGCTCTCTTGCAAAATCTAGTCTGTGCTTAAAAGTTTGAGAAATGTATTGGAGGATTAGCTGCTGTTTATCATTATGAGCTGAAGCCTTTAGCAAATAAACAGCAGTGCTGTGTTTCTGTGTGTTTCAAACAACAGGGGAGGTAGTGGTGTTGAAAGTGACAGACCCCAGCGGTACTGTGAAGTTTCAAGTTCCTGCTGGGTGCTATATCCCAGGTAATTCAATATAAGCTTTATCTACTCCTAATAAAGGTGTAACATCTTGCCTGGTATTTTTATTTTTAAATCATAATATTTATTTGTTGTAATGGTCTGAGTGTCCTCAAGAAATGAACATTTTCAGAGAAATAAGTATTTAAAAAAATATAATTAACACTTGTGTTCTTCAGTGTCATCATCATTCCACAGCCTTGTCTCCTTGAAGGACATTTGGGTGGTAAAATCACCAGATACAAAGCTAGATTGCCTCAGAGAGGACTAAAGAAGCATCAACTGTCAGCTGAGCACTCACTCTGAAAACAGGACTTCAGTATTGCACACTGTGGCTGGGTGGGAACCTTTTTAACTGATCCATAATAGTTGCCGTTGACACTGATTTTCACTGTTGCACTGAACTACAGTGTACAAAGAAGAAGAATGGTTTAGTGTCACTGTCATATAATGAGGCAGATCATAGAATAGTTTGGGTTGGAAGGGACTTTCAATACTCATCTAGTCAAACCCCCTGCAATGAACAGGGACATGTTCAAGTAGATCAGGTTGCCCAGAACCGTATCATAGAATCATAGAACGGTTAGGATTGGAAAGGACCTTAAGATCATCTAGTTCCAACCCCCTGCCATGGGCAGGGACACCTCACACCAAACCATATCACCCAAGGCTCTGTCCAGCCTGGCCTTGAACACCGCCAGAGATGGAGCATTCATTGGACAACCCATTCCAGTGCTTCACCACCCTAACAGGAAAGAACTTCTTCCTTATATCCAATCTAAACTTCCCCTGTTTAAGTTTTAACCCATTACCCCTTGTCCTGTCACTACAGTCCCTAATGAAGAGTCCCTCCCCAGCATCCCTATAGGCCCCCTTCAGATACTGGAAGGCTGCTATGAGGTCTCCATGCAGCCTTCTCTTCTCCAGGCTGAGCAGCCCAACTTTCTCAGCCTGTCTTTATACAGGAGTGCTCCAGTCCCCTGATCATCCTTGTGGCCCTTCTCTGGACTTGTTCCAACAGTTCCATGTCCCTTTTATGTTGAGGATGCCAGAACTGCACACAATACTCCAGGTGAGGTCTCAGAAGAGCAGAGCAGAGGGGCAGGATCACCTCCTTTGACCTGCTGGTCACGCTCCTTTTGATGCAGCCCAGGATACCGTTGGCTTTCTGGGCTACGAACGCACACTGAAGCCAGCTCATGCATTTTCTCATCGATATCCTGCCTGGCCTTGAATGTCTCCAGGGATGGCGCATCCACCACTTCTCTGGGCAACCTGTGCCAGCGTTTCACCACCCTCACTGCGAAGAAATTTTTCTTCATGTCCATCCTGAATGTCCCTCTTTTAGTTTAAAACTATTAATCCTATTGCTACAGGCCCTGCTAAAAAGTCTCTCCCCACCTTTCTTACAGGCCCCTTTCTCTGGTTGATGCGTGTAAATAATGCAGAGAACCTGAATACTCGCAGTTTGAAAATTAGTACATTGCTAAAACTTTTGTATATGTGTGTGTGCGTGTGTGTATGGATGCGTGTGTGGGAGGGTAGCAATCAAATCTGGAAAAGTTGAGACGCTTGTTTCATTTTGATTGACTTCAAAAAGGTTAAGTGTAAGGTGTTTGTGCTTTACAAGTCCAAAATGAATCATGCGGTTTGTAAAGGTATCTCCTAGTTAACACAGCGTGTGGTTTCCCAGGCAAGTTGGGAGAGCTGCTTCCAAATGCATGATTAATCTATGGGTGACAGCAATTTATCTCCAGGGCGCAGAGACTCCCGGGGGAAAGGTGTTTGTCAGATACCCTTGTGGAGTGTTAGATACAATTTCAGCAGAAGAGTTCTGTATGCTGTGCCTCTGAAATTAAGCTCCACTCTGCCTTACTGGCGCTGTGTTAAATTGCTACACACATGGTCATGGGTGAATCCTTAAGTTCCCTCACAAATTATTACATTGAAAATACAGGCTCTCTACGGTTATATGCCACAAATGAGCAGCATCTGAGCTGTAGCATAATAGATATCAAACTTAAATGACAAACACAGACTAAACTCCCCAACTCACTGATGTCTGCCCTCATCTGAGAATTGTTTCCACTTATTTTGTCACTGCCTGACTCCCTACACCAATAAAGTGTTAGAGGATTGCCCCACAGTTTATTTGCTCCGTTCAGCTTAGTTACTGCTTCTTCAGCAGTATTTTTACAAGAAGCTTCTGCTTATTCACTGATGCAAACCTTGTAACAACGTACTTAAACTGTACAACCCCTTTTAATCTGGGAGGCTTAAAACCCTGTAACTTAGGGCAACTTCTGATAATTGTCTGTGGCCCATCAGCGTGCCCAGGCCATCATTTCAGAGCCACCACATCTAGGTAATCCTCCAGCACCTCTGCAGCTCTCTGAAGGTGTGCTGTGTGCAGGGAGTGCTATGGTGATGTGTCTGACAGAGTCACAGAGCTGGGCATGATGTGCATGAATGGGACTGTGCGAGCTGCTGGGAAAGACTGACCCTTTCATATTTCCGTCCTAGTCATCAGCATTAAATCTACATACCTGGGAAAGCAGCTGTCTCCAGGCAATGGAATCACACTAGTGTTACCCTCTGGGCCCTTTGCTGTGGGCATTTCATTCTTCTCATTAAGCATTGAAGCTGTTTTGTAGTCCTTAAGTACAAGTCTCAAATTCTGCCATTACTTCTTGTCATCATCCTGTCATTCAGCAAAGTCAGTATTACCCCAGGGGCAAGACTGTAAAACCAGTACTGCATAAGGTGCCTGCCTTGTGAAAACAGTAAATCTGCCAGGATAGGTACCGTCTTTGCATGGCCAGGAAGTATTGCTGTCAGTGAGAGCCTACATTTCACATTTATTACCTTTATCCCTAAGTTTGGATTCCCTTAGCTTGTCTCAAGGTGCTCTTATGCAATTGTGATATTTATCACAAGCAGCAAGTACCAGATTGTTATCCCTGGTCCACCCTGGTCAGTGGTGGTCACCAAGGCCACAGTAAATACCTCACCTGCATTGCCAGTGCCTCCAGTTAGAACCTCATGCACTCAGGTAAGGAGGGCCTTCACTTCGTGCTCTTGAACACATGGAGTAACCTTACTGGGAAGGTAAAAAGCATCAAGCAGCTGCTTGGCAATAATGTGGGTTTAAAACTTACTAATTATAAACTAGGGATTAGCCTTTGTAAATAATGTCTCTCATCAGTAAAATAGCATCACGATTCTTGTAAATGTGTTTGCATTTGGGTTTACCTCTGACTGCCTTAATGAAACTTTGCTTTTATTTGCTATTCCAAGGTGGCATTTTTCTCACCAAATCAACAAAACTCTGAAACATGAACTGGATTCTCTTTTGGCATGTGCTTGTAGTAAAAAAACCTCACGTTAATCAGTTGGTGTATCTTCAGAGCGAGCCTGCATGGACTGGCTTCAAATAATGGTATCACTTACATCTGTGCAACTGATCATATCAGAACTGCTTTCAGGCAACTCTGAATATCATCTGAGGTAAATGAGGTGTGACTGGAAACAACATTTGGACAGTGAAGCAGTATATCCATAAGGAAGAATGTAAGTTCATCATCAGATCCTAAACTGAGATCATAGGGACTGACAAGTAAATGAAGAGAAAAAGAAAACTTTGATTTGAAACTGGGAAGAAAACCTCTCAGAAATCACTAAGACACAGGCTAAGGGACAGTGTGGTGTTGAGAGTAG